CCCTCTTCCCTTCCTTCCTCCTCTTCCCCTCCTCCCCTCCAGCCTCTGGTGGTGAGACAAGGACCACGTTTTGGCTGTAACAATAACAAAGAAACACCTACCCGCGTCCGGAAAGGCTGTAAAGCCGGGTCTTTAGTCGAGAATGTAAAGTGAATTTGTTCGAGATTCGAGTGTTGCGTGTTCCGAGTGTTCGGGAACTCCGTGAAGTCAATACGAAGAAAACATCGGGACCGAAATGGGACCGAGCGTTATGTTCGAGATGCCCGAGAATTCTTGATTTTCATGTTCGAGATTCGTGGACTTAACTGTATCTCCATTGGTCAGCTCTGACGTTATGTCGAGATATCTTCATATAATGTGTCATGACATGGTGGAATCAGGCGCTCATCAATTTTTGGGCATATCGGGTTATTGGTATCATCTTAAAGCCTGTTCTTTTGCCTTCCTTTTGAAGAAAAAATATTCATCTCTGTTGAATGGAAGTTGAAATATTTGTGATTGAAGGAGGTCAGGGTCGCCGGGTTTTAGAGATCAAATTAACGAGAAAATGGCCGCCAAAGTTTGGTACCTTCCTTAGCCTGATAGTCCTTGGGAACTGAAAATTTATATTTTGGTGCCTTTAATCAATGTTTTTCAGTAAAATCCACAAAAAAGTGTTTTTAAATGAACATAAAAGGTGTTGGGCTTAAAAAAAAAAAAAAGAAAAGAAAATTAGAAAAAAATTGCCCATTATCCCAAAAAAATCTGATTTCTTTGATTTAATTATCTGGTCGCTTTTAAGCACAAGGGGGCTACCCCGAAAAATGCTGTTTTGAACAAATTTAAGGTAAAGTTTTTGCCCCTTGTTCAGTTTCTTTCTCCCTCTATCTGCTATGTCAGCAGGGTTAGAGCCACCGGCCGTCTTACTGGTCTAAATTGTATCCATTGGGAGGTAAAAGTTTTACAATGTCAAGTTGCTTGTACGTCTGTCCTCAATGTAACTTTTTCTGTCCTGTGGGTGGTTGGTGGGTGCTCTGTCCTGTGGGTGGTTGGCGGGTGCTCTGTCCTGTGGGTGGTTGGCGGGTGCTCTGTCCTGTGGGTGGTTGGCGGGTGCTCTGGTGTGGTTTGCCTCTTCTTTCCTATCAAACATCTATCGTCCTGATCTCCTCTCCTTCTTTTATGCGTTTGTTACTCCCTTGTAACATCTCTAATCTTCGGCACTTATATGACCTTTTTGTGTGCAAGTGACGTAAAATTCTCACTAAAACTTTAAAAAACCTCTCTCCAGATGCAACAGCTGGACGCAACGTCGCAGCGCCCCGTGCCGTACCCGTACGAGATGCTGTTCCGGCTCAACAAGGAACGTTTCAACAAGTCCGTTATGGATTATCACGTTCAGTCTCAGGGCTAGTTATGTTCACGACACGGTTGTAACACTTTTGTCGTCACGTCTCGCCGATCGGCCATGTTAGCCACACAGTTTCTTTGTTGGATTTTCTCCAAATACCTTTGTCTTGGATGGCAAGGGTTTTTACAGTATAGTCACTTTTAAGGACAAGCGGGCTAACCCAGATTTCGGAGGTTTCCAGAAATTTCGACCTACACCAAAAGTAGTGGGCATTGCCCTACCTATAGGAGAAGTTTGGTTTCATTGGTGTGAATATTTGTTTGGTTATAGAGAAAACTCTCCTTGTCTTTTAACTCTTTTTATCCTAGCCGTACCGCCACGGACTCGGTCCCCGTCCTGGGGCCGCCGCGCCCTATGAGTGGGGAGTCAGTGCGTATAGTTCAAAGTGTTGTATTTCTTACATTTACTCTAAGATTTTAGGAAAATTCGGCAGTTACGTTAGAAACTGAATGTAGTTTTTGTAAATGTATGTGGTTAGGAAATA